ACTAAGAGCCTGTATATACCGCGAGTGGAATAAACCGAAACGGGAAAGAAATACAAAGACGCGAATATAGAGTTTTTCTAATTAGAAGTTTTTCATTCCCTTAGGGATCTGCCAGTGCGAATACGTAATTTATTACGTTTCAGCGGCTGATAACATAGTCATTGACCAGTTCACTGAAGCGAAAGCGGAATGCTCATTCGCTCATGATGTTCACTTCGACCTCTGTTTGCGCTTATCAAAACGGTTTACCAACTTTAAAGGTGATGAAGCTGCAAACTAATGAAATTCAGATTTTGTTAAGTTAGAGGAAAGTTCGTACGTAGGCGCTTGTACCTGGGTTCATATGTGTAAAAGTGCAGGTTCATCGATTATGCGGTAAATACTATTTTGTGGTATACTTGGAAGCGATTCTGAAGTGAATCTTCGTTGTTAGTATGTATTTGCAGCGTCCACATGGTGCCTTACTTCTTTTTGAAATCCTGAGACGTTTCGGTGCCACTTCTATTTCCTATTCTTAAATTGCATCAACTCATTCCATTTCCCCCTGCTCATGACATTTAGTGTCCCGATGGACAGATGCTGAGCATTCATTTGAAATGAACGCTGCACAGAAGTAAATAAATACTAAGCACCTGAAAATGTACTGGGATATTATCAGATGGGTCACCGACTGATTTCTAAGTCATGGGCATTTCTTAGTCGTGTGTCTTCTGTGTCCTCTGTGTTTTAATTTGCCTTAAAATGGATCTCTATAACCCAAACCTCACGCAAACACAACAGCCCACACGGCTTCTAAGGAATTGGCGCCATTCTTGTTTCATAACAAATTTCGTATCACTTACCAGTCCATTTATTTTGATACCAGAATTACCAGTACTGAAGGACCAGCAACTGAAGACAAGCCAGCTGCCTGGATTGAGGTAAGAGTTAGATTTTAAAAAGCAATATGTACATCTCAGTGATGGTAGACATTGAGTAGATATTCAATGGACTTCTTTATCTGAGCAAGTTTCCTGTTCACTGGAGATAACAATCCCATTCGTGGCTTAGACGTTTGCTCGTTGACAAAAGACCAGAGCAAGTACTGATGTATATTTTACTTACGTTATCTGTAGACCTTATTAGCGTATTAGTAGTGAATCACATAACCAGGTCGATGTGTAATTAACTCACTATATTGGCTCATACCTCGTTGATCAGTGAATCTTCGACTTATAGTCTGTCCTTCAATGCCTTTTTCATTTATATAAGAATAAAACTTGGGCACTGTGGTAGAGTGTAATTCCATTATGGGTAAATTTTATTTTGATAGAGTCTCACAGTGTTATACAGTAATATTTACTGATGACGTTTCGAGCACAATTTATTGCTCATAATCATATCATTTTTTCATTTAAGTTGAGTTGTTTATAATATGCGTAAAATAAAATTCTGCGTTTTGGAGAGTTGTCTTCTGGCCCATGGAGTTTTCTGATGCATGTGTTGACGATAAGTTTGAAAACATCCGGAAGTATTCGAACTTCTGTGAGTGGAAATGCAGCACTTTCGGATGCATTATCATATGTTAAAGAAGAACCAAATTACCCGTCCCCGGAACTTAAGTAGATAACGAGCATGCATCGCCACAGTCAAATGAATTGCAGTTGGCAAGCTGATAATTAGATACTTTCACTTGGAGGAGGTGAAACAAGCAACATCAAAGGATGCGTCGCTCCTTCGCAGTTAAAGAAACGACCTCTTATATCAGTAATGTCAACCTCACACAAGAACTGAAAGTGACTCGGTCCTGATCAGTGTTCATGCTAATAAGAGATTGGGCGTCTGCGTCAGTACAGACTTGTGCCTTCCGGACCAGGATTAAGTGAGTGGTGAGAAAGCATCACTATTCGGGGCTTATGAGGGGGGTGGGGGTAAAACTTCACAGTTCGGTGACTCCAGAACCTCAGTAGGTGAAGAACTGAGGCACTAAAATTAACCAGCATTACGCTACATTAGTGCGTGCAGTTCGTTGAAAAGACAGAATAAGGTAGTCTGGTTGACTCGGAATAAAGGGGGCTATCTGAATTACATATTCCTGGCCAGAACCTGAATTCACTGGCAGTAACGTTAATATTCAAAACATCACCGAGCTCAGAGTGGGCCAAAAGGATTGCAGAGGCGGTAAAGTAGTCATATACCCTAAGTAGATTCCAACGTTGTGTAGCATAGGCGCTTTTGCACACGGATTTAAATCATATGGATTCATCCACCACCACATAAAATGAACCGGAAAGTTCGATCATTGGATCCAAATATATGTCGGTCCATACCTTACACCATGGCTCATTAACCTCCATGTCGGTGTCATACAGTCGGTAATTTCAATGCCTCATCAGTTGACTGTTAAAATCTAACAACAGCATTGTCGGACAATTCTTTCAACCACTAGCAGGTGGTGTCCTATACTTTACTACTTTAGGTCAAGCAGGTCAAGAAATCTTATTTGGTTCTCAACCCATTTCCTTGACCTCGGACTTGGTTTTCCATAATGGTGTGTGCAGTTTACGTAGCATTCTTCCCCCCTGGACGGAAGCGATCGCCATGTGATAAACCCTTAGTTCCTATTTCCTACTATATCGCAATCCGAAACGCCTTTTGTGGAGACTGTGTATAAGTGCCATCATTTCCAGAGCCCCGTCATATTACTGAAGCGTAAATATATAACCTCCTATGGAATCCCCGTGTACTCGCTCCAAGCAAATTTGAGCACGGGTTACTCAGTGCTACTTCACATGAACAGTCGCCTAGGGCAAAAAAACGTAACGGTCAGTGGATAGGGCTGAGTGATTCGTGGATTATTTAGGCGTCAACAAATATGCTAGAACACATTTCTTACTGCCAGGACTTCAGAGGCCTGGAAGCCGTACACTGTACCTAGAAGATAAACTGCTGCGTTAATATGTCAGTCAAGGTGGAAAATTACACATGTATGTAGCTCAGAACGCATTGGAAGCTCAGGAACAAGACGTGAGATAATTACAATCAGAGTGGATCATGAAAAACTGAATCGAAAGCAAAGTGTTCATCCCGAGCGCTGACATAGCACTGACCACCATCATGTCTGGCCGTTCCACAAAATATTCGGATGAATCAAGTCAACATAGGACTTGTAGTAGTAGGTAATTCCCCAGCATTATTAGCCACAGCATTAATCACTGAACAATAGATGCTGACCCTCACTGCTGAGGTCGATTTGTTCAGTTGAATGCCATCATCGTGTTACGTTCGTCCGTGGACGATTCCTAGCTAGTTAAACGATCATCTTCGCAATCTGATCTGACCTCGAAAAATACTTCGTACTTTGGCCGACCGATTCTGGTGTTTTGCTTGGCCTTTAGTCCACGCGAGACGAGTAATATAGAAGTTGTGGGTATTGGATCTTGCTTCAGTATAAATCGTAAAATTCATCAACGTCAAAACTCAACCCTCCTACGACCTAAACGTCGAATTTGAGTACTTAAGCAACCCAGGCACAGGGAAGTCAATGGAAACCCGTGACCTTCACCCAAATGTTCTCAAAGAGGTGGCTGCTCATCAACTTTTAATCCAACTCACATGGACTGCTAACGTATGGTTTAATTGGTTCATACACAAGTTAGGACATGAGGGGTCTCCTGAGAAGCGTGAGACTATTAGATTTACGAGCACCATAATAAAAATAAATTTAAGGATAATGAAGAGAACAACCTGCCTTATGACATACGGCAGGATTTTCGGGGGTATATTTCGTCTCTGATTAAGCTGCTCACAGCAAAAGATGGCCAGTCAAGTCTAGTAGTAACATGAAATTCATTGAAATTGTCTTCAAGGATCATAGGACATCTGGCCGTAACAAGACTGATGGTGAAATTGATAAGTTTTGAATCAGTGGCCACCAAATCATCTGTATCAATGAATTCTTTGTAGATTGGTTACAGAGTCAGCGCCAGAACTAAATCCTCCCTCTGGACAACAGTGAGAACGTAATGTGCTGGAGTTTTTGGTAGTCAGCCAGCCATTATTTATACTATACACCAGCAAATTACCTGGACCCTTAAAATCTCCTGTGGTCTTCGAGGGTGCCGAAAGATGACAGTAATGTGCTTATAGTGAAGAAAGATTTCACTAGCCTGTTAGAGTGGTCGGAAGGATTGATGCTTTCCGTCAACATAGTGAAGTGTGCAGCAATGCACATTGGTAATGCTAGCGTTGGCGCAAACAGCATGGAGAGGACACTGTTCCTCTGAAAAGCGTGTTTAGGTTTAGATAATTATGGGCAATACACAGAGAAGTAACTAGAATCACAGGTGAAATGTTTACTATCATGTAAACATATCTGAAGTCAAAAATGGGAGCTGGTATCTAAGTGGCCAGTGTTTGCCTAATAGTAAACTCACATATTCTGCAGAAGTTCAAAGGAAGGCCGCAGGTATAGTTCCTGTTATGGCCAATTCGTCATTCTAGGAAAAACTTAACAGATCAGACATCTCCTCTTTATCATTATGTGAACTGAGATGACATTCCAAGAAATACCCGTGGAGCTTATCCATCTTTCCCTTACCTTTCCTCCAGACCAAAGTTCACAAGCTAAGGGGAGAAAAGATATCTGCGGAGACATATTTCCCTCATGGGACCATTAACTTCTGAAGCCGATTTCCAGATGAAGAGAATCGCCTGCCTCCTCAGTCAGCTCATTCAAGAAAAGATTAGACAAGCAAAAGCAATAATCAGAAAAGGATTGCAACATGACTATACCTTTATTCCAGTCAGTCAGTATCCTGAAAAAATCCGGTGCTGAATCAGCTAGAAATGCAAAATTCGCAATTTCGCGCATTCTTATCTGGTGAAATGCTCAAACTTTGAATGTGAGACTCGAAACCTTAAGAACTAAGTGAGTAAGTGATGTCGAAGAGAGTTCAATGAACTCAGTAAGATCTATACTGATTGGCCAAAATCATTTTGGATATTACTATTGGACCCCTATTTTATGCGGCATTTCTAACTCTATCAAATAGCGGTAAATTTGGAGTCTTTATACGTGCAGCGGAACTATGGTGGTTCCTGGCATCCCTGTGGCTGCACTTGGCCTTTCTGCCATACTGTTCGGGATTTTTATTTTCTGGAAGTTTTATGGCAAAATTACTAAGACTGGTGAGTCCTAGTATATTCCTTTGAAATTGCAATAAGCAAATGATTATTATTAACTATTGACGTCATTGTAATGACTATTTCTAATTGAGTTTTAGGAATGATTGTTTCATTTTCTGTTTACTGTAATTCTAGTGCTTTTAAACTCGAGTTTAATAAGATAGGGATTTCTTCAGACTAAGAAACATGAATCATCACGACTAAAGACATTGATGTGTTCACCCCTGCTGGTCTCAGAAAAGTATTGGATCTCTTTTGTTGTTAGCTCTCGTTTTTGTCTAGAATTATCACCATTACACAAATTAGTTTCAGTACATTCCCCTGTTACGCCAGAGCTAACCCAGCTTTGGGCCAGATATCCATTGCAGCTGTCCATTCGAAACATATTTGGGAGGCCGACAGTTGTGCATCAAAGTTATCAGTATATAAATACTAGCCCTAGATACGCTGCACTAAATTATTTCATGTAATTCTTTGAAGTCTAAAATAACTTTAAGTGACATACGACTAGATATCTCTGTGTATGCCTCGTACTTTGTACATTTTTAGGCTACAAACCGTAAGCTATGTTGTCCTAAATGCAGTATGTTTTTTGTCTCATGAAAGGATGCAGAACGTAGGATTTATTTTGACTTTTCAAATTGTATTGACAGACGATTTTGCTTTTCTGTCATACTGTTCGAGGTAAGGCTTATTTAACAGCCCACGTTCTCTTATATGGTACAGTTATTTATTTATGGGAACAGAGTTGGTACATTATGGGCACCAAGAGGTCCTTCACATAAAATCTCATAGTGTATGCGGGGGCTGAGATGATGCCCAATCGCCCAAACCGAAGTAGGTGGTTGTCTTAAGCGACCATCCCTAAGCCTTTGATTAGGAATCTAATCCACACGGCAGTGAAGCAGCATCGTGAGTTATGTTCCCATGGTTTCCGGTGACTGAAACAAGTTCATACGTCATTCGATTCATTCGGATTCTGGAGCTCATGTACCCCATGTAGGTGGAATATGTGTCTTCCGTTTTCCCTATGTAGGTCAACATACCCACCAGTTCCATTCTAAGTTCGCATTCTCCCTTCCACTTTCGTGAGGAGCACACACCACGTGGAGGTAGTGATAAGGAGCACGTGAGCATATGGGACAATTTCGAGGGGAAGACTCAAGTATACTCACACCTGGCCTTACCGAATAATATTTGCTAAAACGGTAAGTATATCCCCTTGAAACCAATCTTTATATTTCTTGAAGATTTTTTTCATTGACCGTTCATTTAACTGGATGCGATTCGTCAAGAAGTTGGTGTATGTCAATCGCTTGAAGTCATGGACGCCTTTTTCATTTTCCGATGTGATCATAGGGTGTTTCAGAGACGATAAATAAGCATTTATCTGATTACTATGTATTTATTCCGAAGTCTAGCATTATATGTAGTCCGCTTTTGAAACATTAAAGAAAGCTCTCGATAACCTGCAGTAGAAAGTTAGTGGGTTTTTGTGACCTAATTCAAACTATTCGATGCATAAAGACTGATCGTGGCGATTTCCGAACATGAGTTGCAAAAACTGTTGCACTTTGACCGACTGCGAACATTAGGTGAAAAGAGGTCACAGACTCAGAGAAAATGAGAAGTGAAAAAGCTGTCGTGAGCTCTATTGGCGTCTAGTGAGAGATGACGGGACAATGACAGTTCAACATTTATCTAAAGCTGCTTTGTAGTCTCTAAGTATCCAACCGTAGTCTGGAAGGAATTCACACATTAACCCACCAACGGTAACCGAAGGGTTTTGTCTAAAGTAAGCGAACTTTGTGTAACCTGTCTGTATCGCTCCAGAGATGTTTAAGGATGGCGGTTAATGTATGGGAATCCAAGACTAAATAGCTGACCATCTTGGTTTATAAGAAATAAAATAAATCTTCCTGTGATAATTACAAAGGGATCAGTTTGAATTGCGTATTAGTTGAGAACCATAGTTACACGTAAACTAGATGATACTCGCAATGATTTTGACAGGTTTCAAGCACGAAAGAAGATGCGTTGATGATACCTGGTTTTGTCAATAGGTTTAGGAGTGCGTATGCTTATTGGCATTCAATACTTGCCATGTTTCTTGATGGAAGGAATGTTAGTCAGTGAGGATGTAAAGTGACTAGGATACAGGTTGTGCATAACAAGCCACAGTTTTTATCGTTGAGCTATATCAGGTAAAGTAGGACTAGGTGGAAATGTAATCGGAGGTGGTCTAACTTACATGAGGATGTAGATTGTTTGGTTTGAAGCACCGGTGGTTGAAAACTACTGGTCACATGACCGCATTCTACGTTTAACCAGTCAGTCAGGTCAGATGGATCGAAGTTGTCAACGATGACACTGATGCCTTTATCCCTTGTCATCCTTGAAACTATGGTATCCGTCACTAGAATCCGTTTAATACTTGCTCACAGACAATTTCACCCACTTATAATCTGGCTAGATTTATTCTTTCTACTTCTCTGTGCCTTTTTGAATTTTGACAGCTCAAACTGATGCATCTGTTTTGAGTTGTTTTTTTGTTGTTGTATGAGTCATTTAATCACCACTGATCTTCATCCTCATTGTCTCAAAGACTTCTTTCATCTTCCGAGATATTTGTTAATTAACAGGAAAGTTGGCACTTAATAATATGAATTTAAATTTAGGTTTTCACTATTCAGTCTTAATAAGTACTTACAATGAATAAATTTGTATATCTTTCAGAAGAATTATGTGATACGTTTTTCACGTTTAGGCGGGTCACGTCCTCGAATGCGCCCTGCCGCTACCGCTGGTGGAGTAAGACGTCGTGCTGGGCAGCGTCGTGTAGCTGCCCGTATGAGAGATGCTTCACACTCTGAAGGAGAAGAAAGAGTTGCCGAGAATTTAGTTGAAAATCCGGATGCACAAACATCAGATGATGATCAAGTTCAGTCGAAAGATTCACCAAAGAAAAAAATTGGTGCTAAGAAAGCAGCAAAATTGGCTGAAAAGGAACGTCGCAAAGAAGAACGAGAAGCGGAGGAACGCTATCGTGAACACCAAAGAAAAATAGAAGACAAGGAAATTGAAAAACGCAAAAAAGAGGAAGAAGCAGAAGAGAGAGCTGCAGCAGCTGCAGTGAGTTTTTCGCTTTAGTGGTTGGTAAAATAGTTCACTTATAAAAGTGTGCACGTTGGTGACTCAGCGGTTGAGTGCTCACCGACCATGCATGTGGTCCGGAGTTCGCTTCCTGGCCGGTGCACACCTTTACCTCCCCTGATCGAGTGTGAGCCTGATAAATAGGGAAGATTAGGCCTGAGGCTGGTAAGCTCAATCCGTAAAAACAAACACCACTGCTACTGAAACTTCAAACCTCAAGCTTGAAGCATAGGAATAAAATTAAAAATAATATACCTACAGTAGATCTAAGAATGCCTTCCTATTCATACATTTCCTACAAAGGAATATGGAATTGTAATCACAGCATACCGTATAGTTTCTTGTTGACGAAAAGTTAGAACTGTTATCAGAATTCCGTTACCTAGAGCAAATTTTTCATGTACCAGGCCACACGCCATGCTTATTATATTAGATAATTTAATAATTCCCATTGTAGCATTAAGAACACAATATTGAGCGAAGAGACTCTTTTTTAAAAAAAAAATTATATCCAGTGAGGGAATTAGGTCAAAGGTGTGAATACATGAAATAATAATAGTATGAAATGCAATTAAAATATTTGTGATTATAATCATAGTTTAATGTCAAGTGGCACAATAATTAATGTCGTGTATAGAATAATACATAAGGTGCATAGATTTTGGAAAAGGGTACATAATTATAAGATTAGTAGACGAATATAAAATGTTACATAACATGGTATGAAATTTGATAAGACAGAATTCAATATTGTAAAAAATATAAAAATATGAAAATTAATAATTTTAGGTTTAAAATGTCAAGTGGGTCAAGTGAAAAAGATTCAGAGTGAGAGTAGTAATAATAATAATGATAATAATATTAATAATAATAATAATAATAATAATAATAATAGTAATTAGGGAAGAGTACATAGAATAACTAAATAGACAAAATAAATAAATGTCTATCCCTCTACGGCCAAGGCAGAAGTAGGGATTGTACATACTTCTTTTGTACACAAAGGTCTGGCTTAAAGTCATGAATTGCCAAGGCCTCAGCTGTCTTTAGAAGTCTGTAACGAATAAAACGCGGGAAGTTAGCATGGATTCTATATATGATCTTAAAATCATGGTCAGGGTTAACAGAGTGACAGAAGTCGATCAGGTGTTCCAAAATAGAGCTTCTCACACACTTCCTTTCTCCCTTATAAAACCACGCTGGAATATGTTCTCGTATCCGTGTGGAAAGCGTCCTCTGACTACGGCCAATGTACCTTGCTCCACAGGAGCAGGTGAACTGATAGATGCACATGGAGGCGGCCAGACGGGGTAGCTTATCTTTTATAGAGGTAGAGAACAACTTGCGGCTAGTGAACGTCATATGTAATCTTGCTGCATAGAACGTCTTACTGACTGATTTGGAGAGACGATTTTTGAGCATATCTGAATCTTGATCAACTTTGAATTCCAAGTTCATGAATAAGGTTTTCTTTGGAACTGTGTCGGTAACCAGTTTAGACTGCTTTTCTTTCATGTTGCTGTCAATAAATCGGCTAGGGTAACCGTTTTCTGCCAGCGTGGCTTTTAAGAAATCAAGTTCCGAGTCAACGGAATCAGAACTACAAATTTTCCTTATCCTAGAGCAGAGGGAATGAATCAAGTTCCTTTTCCTGGAAATAGGCACCCAACTGTAAAAATTAGTTAGTTGTCCGTTCCATGTACGTTTCCGGTGGATAGATCTTTTGAGAGATCCGTCATCACGTCTGCTAAGGCACACATCAAGAAAGGGGATACTTAGTTCGGATTCCTTTTCTACGGTGAATTGTAAAGAAGGATGGCAGTTGTTGAAAGTAAACAGGACATCATCAAGAATTACATTTTTATCGCAGATAACGAAAGTGTCGTCTACGTATCGTTTATAAATGTCAAAATGACCGATGGTTTGACTAAGTTGAGAATTTTCAAGCTTAGCCATAAAACAATCAGCCAACAAGGGACCCAGTGGTGATCCCATGGCAATGCCGTCTCTCTGTCTAAAGATCTCATTATTGAAGGTGAACTGAACATTCAACGTGCATCTCAATAAAAGCTCTTTGAGGTAGATGGTCGGCAGTCCTATTTCTAAACTATGTGTATCAATATAATCACATAAGTAACAAACAGTTTCCATGAGAGGAACATTGGTAAAAAGCGACGTTACATCTAATGAGAACAAGATTTTGTCTGAGACATTGAAATCTTTAATGCTATCAATAAATTTAAACGTATCATCAATGGAAAACTTAGATACTTGCCTTCTGACTGGTTCCAGTATTTCAGCTAGCCATTGAGCGATTCCGTGATAAGGAGAACCCGCCATATCGAGGATAGGACGCAGGGGTAATCCTGTTTTATGAATTTTAGGTAGTCCATACAAACGTGGTATCATGGAGCCTACTGGTCGGATCCGTTCATATATTTCCGATGAGATTACTGACTTATTCTTCATGTTCTTTAAGACATCAGTCAGTTGATTTTCAATTAAATGTGTCTTGTTCTTTTCACCATCGGGTTTGGCGAATTTCATTTGGTCGGAAAGGATCGCTGAGATCTTATCATTATAATCTTGGCGATTCATAACTACAACACCACTACCTTTGTCTGGACGGCATATAATAATATCATCATTCTTCTCCAGTTCTTTAAGTTGATCTATATGCTCTTTAGTCAGGAGGTTGTTCGAGCTAGGTTTTGAACTGGTAAACTGATGACAGCAATCAAGAACTGTAGATTTGAAGTGTTGGAATTCCTCAGGTGATGTGGGTGTGAGATCGTTGGTCTGATTAATAAGATTTTCAAATTGCACTTGAGTATGCAATCTGTTGACTTTTGACGAACTGTTACAGAATTTTGGGCCCAGTGATAGGGCTTGTAGTTGAATTTCAGAAAGGGTGACGGAAGAATAATTAAAAACATATTTACTGGGATCAGTCGGAAATTTCTTTTCTACTACTACCTGCTTGAGACTGTCAAGATGCTTGAGGTTAGCAGATTGGGACTGTTTTTCGATGACAAAAGAAACGTATTCCTCGAATTGCCGGCGTTCATCAGTTGAAAGTTCAAACAGAACGTGACTTCTCAGAGATATGTTCCTGTTTAGCTCTACAACGCGAGAGCGGATTGCGTCAATATGATTAAGTGTATGGCGCTTTAATGTTTTGGAATTGGGACATATACGGTTACGCCTAAGCGCTTTCCAGAATACATTAGGATATTCATTTTTACAGATACAGCTTTCAAAAAAGTTAATCTCAGTTTTCACTAACGCAAGTTTGACAGAATACCGTAGGAACCCATTGAGTTCCTTCATCGTCATTGGGTCTTTGCATTTTTTCAATAATTTAATAATTCCCATTGTAGCATTAAGAACACAATATTCAGCGAAGAGACTCTTTTCAACGAATTTATTATCAAGCTGTACAATCGTATATATATATACAATATATATACAACCATATATATACGATTGTACAGCTTGATAATAAATTCGTTGAAAAGAGTCTCTTCGCTGAATATTGTGTTCTTAATGCTACAATGGGAATTATTAAATTATTGAAAAAATGCAAAGACCCAATGACGATGAAGGAACTCAATGGGTTCCTACGGTATTCTGTCAAACTTGCGTTAGTGAAAACTGAGATTAACTTTTTTGAAAGCTGTATCTGTAAAAATGAATATCCTAATGTATTCTGGAAAGCGCTTAGGCGTAACCGTATATGTCCCAATTCCAAAACATTAAAGCGCCATACACTTAATCATATTGACGCAATCCGCTCTCGCGTTGTAGAGCTAAACAGGAACATATCTCTGAGAAGTCACGTTCTGTTTGAACTTTCAACTGATGAACGCCGGCAATTCGAGGAATACGTTTCTTTTGTCATCGAAAAACAGTCCCAATCTGCTAACCTCAAGCATCTTGACAGTCTCAAGCAGGTAGTAGTAGAAAAGAAATTTCCGACTGATCCCAGTAAATATGTTTTTAATTATTCTTCCGTCACCCTTTCTGAAATTCAACTACAAGCCCTATCACTGGGCCCAAAATTCTGTAACAGTTCGTCAAAAGTCAACAGATTGCATACTCAAGTGCAATTTGAAAATCTTATTAATCAGACCAACGATCTCACACCCACATCACCTGAGGAATTCCAACACTTCAAATCTACAGTTCTTAATTGCTGTCATCAGTTTACCAGTTCAAAACCTAGCTCGAACAACCTCCTGACTAAAGAGCATATAGATCAACTTAAAGAACTGGAGAAGAATGATGATATTATTATATGCCGTCCAGACAAAGGTAGTGGTGTTGTAGTTATGAATCGCCAAGATTATAATGATAAGATCTCAGCGATCCTTTCCGACCAAATGAAATTCGCCAAACCCGATGGTGAAAAGAACAAGACACATTTAATTGAAAATCAACTGACTGATGTCTTAAAGAACATGAAGAATAAGTCAGTAATCTCATCGGAAATATATGAACGGATCCGACCAGTAGGCTCCATGATACCACGTTTGTATGGACTACCTAAAATTCATAAAACAGGATTACCCCTGCGTCCTATCCTCGATATGGCGGGTTCTCCTTATCACGGAATCGCTCAATGGCTAGCTGAAATACTGGAACCAGTCAGAAGGCAAGTATCTAAGTTTTCCATTGATGATACGTTTAAATTTATTGATAGCATTAAAGATTTCAATGTCTCAGACAAAATCTTGTTCTCATTAGATGTAACGTCGCTTTTTACCAATGTTCCTCTCATGGAAACTGTTTGTTACTTATGTGATTATATTGATACACATAGTTTAGAAATAGGACTGCCGACCATCTACCTCAAAGAGCTTTTATTGAGATGCACGTTGAATGTTCAGTTCACCTTCAATAATGAGATCTTTAGACAGAGAGACGGCATTGCCATGGGATCACCACTGGGTCCCTTGTTGGCGGATTGTTTTATGGCTAAGCTTGAAAATTCTCAACTTAGTCAAACCATCGGTCATTTTGACATTTATAAACGATACGTAGACGACACTTTCGTTATCTGCGATAAAAATGTAATTCTTGATGATGTCCTGTTTACTTTCAACAACTGCCATCCTTCTTTACAATTCACCGTAGAAAAGGAATCCGAACTAAGTATCCCCTTTCTTGATGTGTGCCTTAGCAGACGTGATGACGGATCTCTCAAAAGATCTATCCACCGGAAACGTACATGGAACGGACAACTAACTAATTTTTACAGTTGGGTGCCTATTTCCAGGAAAAGGAACTTGATTCATTCCCTCTGCTCTAGGATAAGGAAAATTTGTAGTTCTGATTCCGTTGACTCGGAACTTGATTTCTTAAAAGCCACGCTGGCAGAAAACGGTTACCCTAGCCGATTTATTGACAGCAACATGAAAGAAAAGCAGTCTAAACTGGTTACCGACACAGTTCCAAAGAAAACCTTATTCATGAACTTGGAATTCAAAGGTGATCAAGATTCAGATATGCTCAAAAATCGTCTCTCCAAATCAGTCAGTAAGACGTTCTATGCAGCAAGATTACATATGACGTTCACTAGCCGCAAGTTGTTCTCTACCTCTATAAAAGATAAGCTACCCCGTCTGGCCGCCTCCATGTGCATCTATCAGTTCACCTGCTCCTGTGGAGCAAGGTACATTGGCCGTAGTCAGAGGACGCTTTCCACACGGATACGAGAACATATTCCAGCGTGGTTTTATAAGGGAGAAAGGAAGTGTGTGAGAAGCTCTATTTTGGAACACCTGATCGACTTCTGTCACTCTGTTAACCCTGACCATGATTTTAAGATCATATATAGAATCCATGCTAACTTCCCGCGTTTTATTCGTTACAGACTTCTAAAGACAGCTGAGGCCTTGGCAATTCATGACTTTAAGCCAGACCTTTGTGTACAAAAGAAGTATGTACAATCCCTACTTCTGCCTTGGCCGTAGAGGGATAGACATTTATTTATTTTGTCTATTTAGTTATTCTATGTACTCTTCCCTAATTACTATTATTATTATTATTATTATTAATATTATTATCATTATTATTATTACTACTCTCACTCTGAATCTTTTTCACTTGACCCACTTGACATTTTAAACCTAAAATTATTAATTTTCATATTTTTATATTTTTTACAATATTGAATTCTGTCTTATCAAATTTCATACCATGTTATGTAACATTTTATATTCGTCTACTAATCTTATAATTATGTACCCTTTTCCAAAATCTATGCACCTTATGTATTATTCTATACACGACATTAATTATTGTGCCACTTGACATTAAACTATGATTATAATCACAAATATTTTAATTGCATTTCATACTATTATTATTTCATGTATTCACACCTTTGACCTAATTCCCTCACTGGATATAATTTTTTAAAAAAAAACCATATATATATGATTGTACAGCTTGATAATAAATTCGTATTATGTTAGAGTTAACGATACTACTCAACTGCTTATATTGAAGTAGGTAGAGGGGGATTCAAACCCGGTGCCATTTAGCTAAAAGCCGAAGGCTGAAGCTGATCAGCCGGTGATCACTACACAGCACAAGTAAGCACACTAGCCGTTTCATCGTTATCACTATGAATCATATTGGAATGGTAGCATGACGTAAATATATTAAAATGCTCATGCGAATATATCGGGAAGCTATAGATAGATAGTGCTTGAAAATTCACAAATTGATGCAATTTTCGCAGTGTTGGGTTGTAGTCCCATCCTACCTATTTCACTCTGTGCAACTAGATAGTTTCGTCGACCCTCACACAATAAGTGTGTCTCATAATCTGGTAAATGAGAAAAATCTATATAGATATCTGCAAATATGAAAAATCAAATAGTTGGTAATTGTAACTGTCTTATGTATGGGTCACTGGTCCTTTCTCTTTGTCATGTAAGTGCATATACAGTCTGCTTACTATCTCATACCTACATAACATGCTCCTTTTTCAAAGCGAAAATGTTCCTATTAATTATTGTCTAAGGTCCATCATAGGACGTTTGCTATGTGTTGATGATCACCAGTGGCGTAGATACCCATTGTCTGTAGCAGGCAATATTTGTGGGTGAGCACTTTCGCCTAAGCTATAAAATCGTAAATCCTTATGACATGCATATGATTTTTTTGTTATATTTATTCTATGACTATGGTCATATAGTCTACTTTCCTATTGCTTAATATTAAAAAGGTATGATTTATTTGTTTAGTTAGTCAAGTGGTTGAATGTGTTGACCATAAATACACAGAAGGCTCGTGTAGCATTTACCAACTTACGTCATTTGTGGCGTAGACGTGATATCCGACTATAAATGTACCTATCAAAGGACGTGTGCACTGCTCAGCAGTTCACTCTGTCATCCTTTATGGTTTTGAGACGTAGAAATTGAAAATAGAAGATATGAACAGACTGTAACCACAGGTGTTTGCGTCTTGTCTTCCGTGTTAAGTAGTATAATATATGGTGTAGAATGTTAGGTAAGGGGATGGGAGAAGTCATTGGATGCGGTTATGAAGCTGCACTGATTGAGCTGCGTAAACACGTTTTACGCATGCTGGAAATCGGCATTGGACTAGGTTGAAAAAGGCTTAGGGGGCTGGTCAAACCAAAACCTGGCATCAGTCCATGAAGACTTTGTCAGTTGGTTTGGGTCATATATATATATATATATATATATATATATATGGAGAGAGTGGTGTTTAAAGTGTCTGAATGGAGACCTCAGACTGCTGAGGATCAATGACCGGAGACTATTGATGATATATAGCTCAAAAAAGTGATAAATAGCACAGATACATTCAGTCTTTGTAATCTGTCACATCGATTAAGACCTCGTGTTTTTCCACGTTATGATTCTTTCCCTCCTACATTTCTACTCATTTTAGCTCAAAGGTTGATTAATGAACAAAGAATATTCGGATTTTCGATAAATTCGTCATCAGGCTCTACATTTATATGACAGTGATAATTAAGTAAATACTGTTATTAACAACATTAGTATGGTGTACTTTGACTGGACACTAATAACCAGTGTAATGTGTCTAATCCTTTGTTTGGTGCAGACTGAATTCTAACAGTCAGGTTTGCACATTGATTTAATGATATTAGATGGTTGGAGGCGATTGGCAGGAAGCCTCGGACCTATGTTTCGTGCTAGTCAGCACTCGTTAGCAAGGCGAGCTACCTAGAATGTTGGCCACATTGCAAACCTGACTGATAGAATTCAGTCTGCACCAAATAAAGGACTAGATACATCACACGAGTTACTAGTGTCCAATCAAAGTATCCAATACAGTCCTACAGGAGGTCAATCGCGAGCCCGAATAGCTCAGTGATAACGTTTCTGACTGACTGCAGTACTGAGTGAGGCGGGTTCGAATCTCAGAAGGGACATGAGTTCCTTCAAGGTTGTAGATACGCCTTGCTGACTGGTGAGTACCAACTAGCACGAAATCTAGGTCCAAGACTGGGCTCCCTGCCAATTACCTCCAACCATCTAATATAAGTATTGTGTTTTAAATAACATCAAATCAATATTATCGACAGGTTACATTTTAAGAGCATCAGTAAGTGAGAGATAATATGTGTTAATATAATATTAAACTCAATGTCGGATAAATCAAGGAATGTAATGCAGAGTTTATAGGTTTCACAGGAGGCCAGGGTAGCAATAGTGGCTCTGGACCTGCTTCTTTTGCATACAGAGCTCCCGTTGTTTTAGGAGAATCGCAATAGCATCTGGTGTTTGCAATGTTCGGTGTCTAGAGGCCTTTGGTAATTTATTCGATACTAGGTACACGATAGAGGATGATTCTTCAATCTTAGCTTTGTGGCCTGTGTGCAAGAGGTGGTCCAATGTTATAGCACTGTTAACGATTTAGACAATATCTTTATTAAACCACACTGGTAGACGTTCCTTTGAATTTTTTCTTTATCTGTGACATAGAGTGCATTGACTTAAACTGCTGCGCTTCCGTTCAAAGTTCAGATTTGATTGTTCAGACTATTCAGTATATATTTTTTTCAAATGTAAGAACCATTAGGGACATGTCAAGAGGTCTGTTGAATATTACTAAACATATACACTGTCATTCTCATGATGTTTTTCTTCAACTTTAGGCGGCTGCTGAAGCTAAGCGTCTTGAAGAGGAAGCAGCACGTGAACAAGCTGAATATGAACGTTTAAAACAAGAATTCAGTATTGAAGAAGAAGGAGTCGATGCTGCACAACAAGATAATCAGGCAGAGGCTTTGATCAACTCACAACTTATTGCAGCTATTGAAGAGGCGAAAATCATTCCAATAGAACATTTGTCAGTTAATTTAGGCCTTAAAACTGAGGTATGTTTCTCTATACTTGGATTATCATATACTAGCTAGAGGTATTTGGTATATTCTGTTGTGTTCCTTTTCAGTAGATTTAACAATACCGTTGTTTATTACTAGAGGGAACAATTATTCCTCAACTGCAAGTTTGAAGCTTGCGCATCACATCAAGTGCTCAACTGCAGGTGGAAACCAACAAACTGGCAGAAGAAGCAGGCAGCGAAGACAAGACTCCAAGTAAACATAGAGAAGTTAGTGCTGATGAGGATGACCAACCAACGACAACAACAACCAGTACCAATCAATATCAACGGCCGAAATGTGAAAGGGGTTACTTCCTTCACTTATCTAGGAGGCATAGTTTCAACTACAGGTGGGCAGAACGAATGAAGGTGTAAAAGGCAGCAAGCATCCGAAAGACATAGCAGACCTTCATCAATCTGATATCAGTTTGGAAATCTTCTTCATTCAGCCTAATGAACAAAATTCGGGTTTTCAGCACAAATGTTAAGTCGGTTCTTCTAAATGGGTCAGAAACTCAGCAGGTGAGTCATGAAAGGCATTTCCCGTACGTTGCAGATTTTTATCTACAGCTGACTACGTCCCATATCGAGGATCAAATGGCCAGAAAGGATCAGCAACAAGAAACTATGGGAACAAACCAACTAGGAGCCTATCGCTCAACAAATATGTGGAGGAGAATGGAGGTAGATAGGGCACATGCTAAGGAGACCGTCAAATGATATCACGCGCCAGGCTCTCGAATGGAATCTCAATGGGGAACGACTAGTGGGTCGTCTTAGGGGGACATGGAAGAGATCGTGTTAGGTGGAGATAAGAAATTATGGGCAGTCTTGGACCCAGGTGAAGAGGACGGCAGAAAATAGAAAAAAGTGGAGATGTGTTGTTAAAGCCTTATATTCCACTGGAAACCTAAGGGAACAATGATAAATAAATAAGTAGTTAAATTGCTCAGTAAATCGTAGCATCGTCTCATCTTATACCCTCTTTATAAGTTTCCGTGATTACACAGTGAAATATTGTCAGTACATATACTGTGGTGAGAGCTGTCTACTAGCCAAATTGGTAGACAGTAATTTACGTCAATATTTACGTTCCCAAGATTTGTCGTGAGAAAATGTGAACAAAGATTGATTAAAACCGACCACAGCATACTTTGCGTAGGCGGATGCAGTTAACATATAGATGATCTGACATTCAAGAAACAGTCACAAATAGATGAAAGATTAACTTTACGTGAGAAACAACCAATCGGAAGACTGTGTTTGTTTGCTTAAATATCCATAGTAATGTACATGAAAATATATAAATATGCGTTGATTTCCTTAATAAATGATCTGTTGTCTGGCCCTTGTCTTCTGTTGTTACAATACCAATAAGTTCGTCAGACTCTATACTACAAGTAGTCAAAACAATTCAAGTCATCTTATTGTCGTAAATTGTGGTTGCTTAGTGTCTACAGTAGAGCATTCATAAGCCTGTCTTCTTCATTCATCGTGATTGATTTACTTAGAAAATACACTGTAACGAAAAATACCCATTTATTCATAACTTAAAACAGTTTTTTTGTTCAGAGAAGAAATACTGTTTTTTTCAACGACTTCATTTTCAAGCTGTACACTCAGTCGTATTTATATTATAGAAAAGGTTATTAAGTGGAACTAAATAATTGCTCAGTCAATATACATATACATGTGATAATAATAACGATAATTAAAATGTTATAAGGAGTAGAGTTGAAGTGGATGAATTACAAAATTATTAAAGATTGTTTTAATAAGTGAATTAATATCCATCCCCACGTGATTCATCCTTCAAGGTTATCTACATGACAAAATTGAATCGCTCCAAAAGTTTACGTTTTCTTCACTTATGCATAGCCGAAACTTTAGCTATACATGAACAGAAACCTAAATTAATTATGTGTTCAAAAATGTTTTGTCAAACCCCTTTCTTTACCTTGGTCATAGTAATGTTCTTTCTAGTTCTTATTTCATTTTATTTTACCACTTGAATTCTTTCCACTTCACTTCACATCTTCATTCTTATCGTAATCGTACTCCTAATTTCTTAAAATTTTTAGACCGCTTGATATTAAAAAAATTTTTTGATACCAATTCACTTATAAGACAATCTTTAATAATTTTGTAATTTATCCACTTCAACTCTACTCCTTATAACATTTTAATTATCGTTATTATTATCACATGTATATGTATATTGACTGAGCAATTATTTAGTTCCACTTAATAACCTTTTCTGTAATATAAATACGACTGAGTGTACAGCTTGAAAATGAAGTCGTTGAAAAAAACAGTATTTCTTCTCTGAACAAAAAAACAAAACTGTGTTTTTACTAATGAATAATATACATAAGGTTTTCTGTGAATATATTTCTGTTATCAAAGAATATTAGATGAGTCGTAGCACAGTAGTGTTAAATTCTTCTACCTGGCTAGATAACCATATTCTAACGGTGTGCAACAGAGACCGGGCATTTTTATCCAATAGAATCATCAGTCAACGAGGAATTCAAATGAATAATGTCAACAGATAACTGATATCTCTTGCGCAATAGACTTGCGCTTTATTGACCCAGTAGTCTAATTGGTAGTACTTTGGCGTTTGAACCTATAGAGTTGCTAAGTGGGGAACACTACCATTCACTGAGGATGCAGTTAAAAGCATCTGACGAGTCTCAAACAGGTCGAAATGCACATCGTGGATATGCCAGCCAACCACTGCTAAACAAATGGTTATACATTAAGAAGGTAAGAGTGAATATTGCATACCATGTAATTCTTGCCTGAATAAAACATATATAGAGCTTTTGTATAAAGTTTATGGTATTTGTACTGTTACCTGGGACAAACGTTTCATGTGTCAGGCTATAGGCTGCAGAATTATTATGTGAGGGCTGACGATATTCTTGCCCATTGCCCAGGATAAGTTTAGATCCGCATCAGGCACCTACCGACTGGAAGTCAAACGCTTAAGCCAATAAGGTACTTTCATTTTTCAATGGTTTGACGGTAGAATGCTAGTTAGCCACTCACGTCGTTCAGATTCAGTTTTCTGCCGACTCACTCTTTCACCTCCTCTCCTAGCCCGTAGAAAGCCAGGAAAAAGGGGAAGTTGGAAGTGACAATAGGAAACAACACCACTGCTACTGAAACTCCATGAACCTGGAAACTTATGTCCCATTCGGAACACAAGGAATCAAGAAAATTAAGGATTAAAGCTGTTTGTTTCAGTTACTCAGGAAAAGCAGAAATCAAATAAATCGTATCATTTACACTAGACTTCAGTGGAAATGTGTGGGCAGTGATTGCTTCTCAGCTGCAAGTTCATTCCTTCTTGGAGTGTTGTCTGAGACATAAAGAGTATTAATGCTACGTGACTGCAAAGCCCAGTGAACAACTGCTTGAGATTGGTGATACATGACTTGTTTGAAGTAGTTTTTGAAATTGCTTCCTTATTAAGTTCTTACTGGCGGTTTCAAACCTCCGGATGGTAAGTTGGGATGTACATTTTTCATGATCGATGTTCCCCAATCCCTACTTTCTAGAACAGAGAGACGGCATATCTGGCATGCTGATCATCTGTGGGAATCGCCTCACTGCTATTACATCTCTATTAGCCAGTATAGTACGACTCCATCAACAACTACGACGGTAACTGCTTTTTGTCTGACTGAAATACAAACAACCTTTCTGTCATGGTAATACCTTCGGAAACAGTTTCAGTCAGTGTAGCTCGCTGGGTCATTGTGATGCACAGGTTCAACCAGTTATTGGTCAAGCAGTAAGGCAAGTAGTACAGTATGTATGAATAGATTTAAATTTTTCATATTCTCTCTATTTCTCTGAATTTTTGTTACTTATTTTTCTTTCAAAAGGTTTGTGTAGAAAAAATCAAATCATTAATGTCATCTGGTCGTCTAAGCGGTGTATTGGATGATCGTGGCAAATTTGTGCATATTACAAATGATGAATACGAAGCTGTTGCTGAATTCATTGAGAAACGTGGTCGTATCACACTAGCAGAGTTAGTCGAAAATGGACATAAATTAATTCATACAGGACCGCATAGTTTAAGAGAATAATTCGTTTACTTCTTCTTCTTCTTTTAACAACTTGATTAATATGGTTTTTTCACGGTGTCTTCTCTGACTAACTTTGGTTTTTACTTCGTGTACAGTTGTTGTCTTCTGTGATTTATTTTCTTTGTCTTCTTTTTTTTATTGATGAGTTTATATTCCTCATTTTCTTTATGTGGAAAGAGTTCCTATCCTATCCTGTCCTTAAATGATTTCTGATGGCTATTAGTCTCTCCCTCTGTTTTGTCTCATAAGAATATTAATAATAGACCCCCATAATTGGTTTGTTCTGATGAGGTGGTGTTTTTATTTTTCAGCTGTTGAAAGAAAAGACCACATTTTGTGAGATTGGTTGCCTTATAATGGATAAATTGAGTAGAATTAACCCTACTGACGGCCGTATTGTTGTATTTCGTAAATGACAACTGTGCTGTACTGACTTTGTACAGTGCGTCGGTGGCATAGCGGTTAGGACGCAGTGGTTAGGACTCTCGCCGACCATGCACATGGTCCGGGGTTCGATCCCCTGCCGGCGCACACCCGATATCTATGGTCGGCCTGAATTTGGGCTACTGATATCCATGCTGAAAATTCCACACTTGTACTGAAAATACGGTGTGGAATCAAGCTGTAAATCAAAATTTAAAAAAAATAAGACAAGATTCAATGTAAATTTGTAAAGTCTGATGACTAAGTTTCACTGTAGAATTAATTTTGCAAAGTTGATATATTTATTACATATAGCACGCAAAGGTAGGGAAAAGAGGAAAAAAAAATATTCAAAAGAGCTTTAATGTGAGCAGTAATGAACGCGAGAAAGAATTAGTAACATGGAAAAACATGAGGACGGTGCTATTGGTGACTGACTGGTTTCAACACAGAACTTCGTACAGATGTGCAGCAGTTTGAGTTGTCACACTCCCTCCTTGTAGCACACTAAGCAAGAAAGATTCAAAAGAGAGATAAATAAACAGAAATTTGAGATAAAAGAATAGTAATATGGCAGAGCAGTAGAATTTTATTGGATATTATAAATCACAAAGAGTGAATACATCTGCGCCAGCCATTGACAACGATTTTGAGCCAGCCATATCACTAATTGTCTCCAGCCTTCATTGATTTTTACCATCCCGAAGTCCCCGACCGGGAAGTGTAAACCTCCCGACGCGGCTTAAACGAACTTTTGTGGATTTTATTGACTGATGAAGCCATGTTTTGGTTTGACCACCATTGACTCTTTTCCAACCTGATCTATCCTATGTCAGCTAACATTGCCCGTCGGTCGAGAAAGACAATGGCTAGGCATGCATGATACATGCCCTAACCATCTCAATGGGTGTAATTTCACATCCTCGTCGATTGATTTACCCTCCTTACCTAGCTCACCTTATTATTCCGCCCGATATGAGAGATAGAACGCAGAGACCTATGATCAAAAACAGCTAACCTTTTCATTTCTTCCACTCTCAATGGTCAGGTCTCATAGCCTTTACGGAGGATGGAGAGAACTGCTGAGCAGTATACACTCCCTTACGTCGACAGCCAGTCGGATATCACGTCCAGTAAGCCAGAGATGTCGTAAGTTGGCATATACCAAACGAGCCTTGTTTATCCATGCTGAGATTTCATCAGCAATGAACCTGTCGGGGCTGATTCAACACCCCAAATAAGTGAAGTGGTCAACACGCTCTACCACCTCACTCCCTCCCTATCTTTAAGGTAGGAGTCGTTGCGGTCCAGTCACGTAGTACCGATCATCTTACATTTGACGGAGAGGAGAGAATTGCATGTCACACATTTGAAGATTACTGCTCAAGGTGTTCCAAAGACTGCATTTTGTCAGCGTCTTCACCCAGGGGGGGGGAAGGACTACATCATCTGCGTATTCTAAGTCAACAGGATTATTCCCTGGTAACAGTGGTATTGGTAACGTTTTTAAGCTGTTTCGACAACAGTCTTAAACCATTGGTTCTTAGCATCTCAGAGACCTCCAAACAATCAGGCAGTCTATCCTACTCAGTGTGGTTCGAACCAACTCTCAAAGTCTTCAGGAATTGATACCAGGTTTCGATTTGATCACCCGTAACTATTTTCTCATCTAATCTTATATCGGGTAACATTACTCGACGTGGGAAGCGATGATTTTCGGCATGCGTAGATGTAGATGCTTAACCTCGTCGAATAAATGATTTCCCCTCCTAACCCCCCAACATTCTACGTCTAAACTCAATAGTAGTCAGCATATCATGCACCACTTTACACACGAGAAGTTTGTAAATTAAAATTGTATTTAATCATAAGGCGAAAT